CACAGTTTCACCAAATGTGTGTGCTGGTATCAGGACAGGGTCCTGTTGAAGAGGTGGCTCACATGTATCCTGTTTCAAATCAACAACTCATGCTCTGTCTGAACTGAGCGGCATCGCTGTGCGCATGCTCTGTTTATTTAATGTGGTTCCACTCCGCTCTTTGATGTTTTCAAAACTTTGAACCCTTTACCGTGTTTGTTCAGTCGATTTATGTAAGTGTTCGAAACTATGCGGAATGACCTTGACCTACTCATCTTCAGGTTGGGCTTCAAGAATGTTGTCACCATAGATAATCTCAGAGAGGGCTACCCTCTTCTTGATATCGTGGATCACAACAGAAGACCCAAAGACAGCGTGAGTTTCTACATTTATTTAGATCCACACTCACTACAAACTTCTTGATTACATCATCACATTTGAAGAGCAGACTTTTTTTGTAGCAGCTTTCCTTTTATTTGATGTATTTAGATTGTGCTGGTGTACCTGATGCTGTGGTAGATATAATCAATCAGTTTCCAGTGCATATACAATAATTGTTTGCATACTCGTGTCTTGTCTCACAGATTCCTCCCACTAAAGGTTTACAGCCAATAGATGGTATGTTTGCACACATACATAAAACAATAAATTAAACTTTAAGCATCTCACTAAGTTATCATTGATAAGTCTTTTTTTCAGTAATTTACTCAAAACGTGAAATTTAAATACCGGTAGGTTAAATAAATACATCGGAAAATACTTTTCAGAAGGTCAATTCCTTCCTCATGTCTATATTAAACATAATTTTGATTGTTTCTCATATGATGTTCTAATCTCTTCAGGTGGTGAATTGATCTAATTTATAAATCCATCCATCCATTTTCTGTTTCGTGAATGCTCATTAGGTTCTACTAAAAAATGTTTTTTAAATTCTGGAAATAGTTCACTCTGTGTTGTGAATACTAGTTTCACGTTTTGACTGAAATAAATCAAAATTTCTATTACACTCACTAACTCATTGAGATACACCTGCACGTTTTTGTCTTTGCCCTCGTATCCTTATAGCTGTCATCTTATTTGGTGAGCCAATCAGATGGGAGACCAACCTCCAGCTCATTGTTGATGTACTTTTAACCAACGGAAACCCGGACAGGAATTGGAATTCTGCGCAGTATCCACACATTCCGGTGCTGGCCTGTAACATGGACCTGTTGTGGATGGCTGAGGCTAAGAATCCCAGGTGGAGTATCTGGGGCGGAAAAAAAAAATGTTCTTTTTCCTGAACTATCATTCATATTGTGGTTCCCTGACAGGTTTGGCCATGGTATGTTCCTCGTGTGCTTGGAGAGCCTTTACAAGAAGGTGACAGGTCATGACCTCAAGTATGAGGCGCTGATTGGTAAACCCAGCGTAGTGACTTATAATTATGCCGAGCTGCTGGTCAGGCAGCAAGCTGAGAGGCTTGGATGGGCCACACCCATGAAGAGATTGTACGCTATAGGGTGAGTGACTCCATTCCTCCATCTTGGCCCACAGTCTTTGTTAATCCAAACTGATTTATGTCTTGTCACCTTTTCTTGTTAGTGATAACCCTATGGCTGACATATATGGTGCCAATCTCTACAACCGCTACCTCCAGACCGCCCAGTATTCTCAGGCTCAGAAGCAAGCTAACCAAAGTGGAGCATGTGCTCAAGCTGTTGACCAGGCCCCTAAAATGACATCGAGCGAGCAAGGCGGTGCACCCGCTGTGTTCAGGTCAGGCACGGATCTCCCGGAGGCGTGCCACTCCATTCTGGTGTGTACAGGAGTATACAGCAAAGAGGAAGAGCTGCCGTCAGACACGGGGCACACGGTGACCGAGCAGCGCATCTTTCACGGCCACAGGGACTTTCGCTTTGACCCCAGCCTCACACAGCCGTCCTTTGTGGTGCAGGATGTCAAAGACGCCGTAGAGTTAGTGTTCCGGCAGGAAGGATGGCCCCTAGATTAAGTGGCCTATTCTTGACTTTAAAGGGTTGAAACACTAGTGTATAGTTTTACAACGAATCCTGTCTTTATGTAAAAACAACAATATCCTGTTTTCACATGGCAATAATGCAATGTTCTTTATTATTGAGGGAGTTGACATCGATGTAAAAGTAAGGTGCATGACAACTATTTCCAACATTTGCAACCTTTTCATGTAGCGAAAGTAAACCAAAAGTCTCTGCATTGTGACACATTAATTTGGATTAGGGACTTGCACCATTTGAATCACTTGTGCAATAAATGCAACAGGATTCAAAACACTTTGCGACTTACAAGGCTCTGGATTAACAAATATCTCCTGGAAACTCAACATGATAAAGAACAACACTAACTCACATTGTAAAATCCATCCATTCTCGAAAGCGCTTTTCCTCGCCAGGGTCACAGGCGTGCTGGAGCCTATTCTAGCCGCCATCAGGCGAGAGGCGGGGGTAGGCCCTGAACTGGTTGGCAGTCAATCACAGACATTCTAAAATCCGTACATTAAAATTGGCCCACAAAAAAATAAATAAAAATTTGAATGCGTTCCCCATGTTGCATTATGCTTCACATTCGAGTTGGATAAAACACCCTCAGTGTCATCTACGTGTCCTGTTCGTGAGTCTTAATGCCGAGCTTTGCTGTCCTCTTCTTTGTTTCTGAGACTTCTTGCTTAGTGTATTTTCAGGAGGAGATTCCGGAGGGGGCATGTGAATGGGTTTCCATGGGATTGGGTTGTAAAAACTGGGTGGTGGGTGGAATCTGCAGGGACCTGGAGGGAAGGTAACACTCGCGGGTTACACAGATATGAAAATAATGAACCCTGATTCACTGCCTAAAAAACATGCATAAATGAACGTATTATCCAGAAAGCTACCGAGCAGCTAATAATTGCCAGATCACACTCACTTGAATAATGAAGTGGCTTTGGATTTGCTTTCCATTTGTCATTGTTTTTTGCCAGCCATTCCTTAAAGTTCCCCTCTGCCTTCCTCCGTCGCTCTTTCTCCTGCTCCTCCCTCAGACTTGCTTGCTCCTGTTGAAATGAAATCCCCAGTGATAATATCGAAATACACAGCGGCCAAGCAATAGCGAAAATCCAGACATTTTGAAAATGGATCTTACTTTTTGCTTCTTCTCCTTTTCTAACCTCTCTTGGTTCTTCTTCTGCAGCCAATCGTTGTACTTTTGTTGAGCTTTCTGTTCAGTCTCTCTTTTTTTTTCCTGTTGACGCCGCATCTCTGCTTCTTCTCTGCCGATTTTCAGAAGCTGATTATGTCTTTCCTTGGATTACAGTAACAAAAACACACAATCTGAGCATTTTTTGCTGCACTGGCTAAAATGCTTAATGGGCAATTATCATTTACTATTGTGAGTTGTAGACCAGTTTTCAACCTGTTCTCTTTTAAGTTGCTGCCAGTCTCTGATCTTCTTTTCCTCCATGATCTTTTTCTGTTTACGTTCCATTTCTTCTTGTTCTTTTTTTTCCTTGAGTAAACGTGCCTGGTTAAAGAGGTGTTGGAATTAGAGCTTGTAGCCATGCCGTTTTTGAGAAGACTCAGCGGGTGACAGTACACCGATAAAGCTCCTTGTCAACTTGCCTCCTCAGTTTTCTTTTTCATTTTAAGATGGTCTTCTTTTGTTTTGTTTACCAGCCACATTTCCCATGCACTAAGGGCTTCAGGTTCTATCTGTGCTGAAGAGGGTTTTTGTAGCTCACATCTTGAAAAAAATAACGAAAGAAATTAAAATACAGAGTTGAAAAGACTTTGGTATGCTTTCCATCCACCTTATGAAATCACGTAGTACCTGGAGGGTTGCTCAGTCGTACTGAGCTCGTCGTTTTCATCGCTCTCATAACTGTCATGGTAGATGGGGGAGAGCAGGGAGTAAGTGTCGTCGTCCACCGTGTACTCCGAAACGTGGACATGTTTTTTCACATTTGGCTTGAGAGGAGTGGAGCTGAAGTCTTCGGACGCAAACGACGGGGAGTTCGGCAAACACCAACCAGACATTACTAGTCGGTCAACTTCTGCAGCTGGGCAATTTTACATCAAAGCGTCTTCCTGTGGGGATACAAATTTGATTTACTCATTTATTTATCGTTCCGTTATCAATCTCATGAATGATTCTGCAACAACAGACAAGTCGGCGTTACTCGTGTCTCCTAAAAACTATTGCAAATGCACCCACAAATACACGAGTTATTGTTAGCTAATTTATGCTAACGATGTTCGCACCAGGCTGTCATTACTCTTGGATAAGATGTAAACTCTGTCGCAATTATGGTTTGTGGATACTTCATCGTCCTCGAGGAACTAACGATGACATTTGCCGGAATCACTTCTTACTTACTTTTATGGTCGCAGTGCCTGTAAAGTTAACATGCATTTTCTTCCTTCATATTCGACAACAACCGTCTTCCCATGATGCACCACGCCTCTACACAACGCCGTTTTTGTAACTATGACGACGTTTGACCTTTTATATTTTTACTTTTGTACTTTTACTGTGCCTGCACTTAGGTACTTATTAATTTTACTTTGCACTTACAGTATAAATTTATTAATGTAGTGCTTTAAAACCCCAATGCAAATGATAAATCAATTACTCTCTCTCTCTCTCTCTCTCTCTCTCTCTCTCTCTCTCTCTCTATATATATCTCTCTCTCTGTATATATATA